GAGATAAATATCTAGAAATATGAAAGTCAGAGCTGTTCTTAGGATTCATAATTCAAGTTTTATCTGAGTGTCAAATGGATTGTTGCATGAATAATGGGAGAACAAGGTGTTGGGTGGTTTAATGAATCTTGTATGAATTGTCATTAATTTTATTCAATTATTATTTTATAACAGACGCAACGAGGAAAGGATGAAGCGGGTACAGGAAGCTCGTGAAGAAAGAGAGCGTAAGGCTATAGAAGCAAAGAAACAACAAGACAGAGATAGAAAGAACAGAGAGGAGCGACTAAGAGAACAGCAGCAGCAGCACAGAAAGCAGCAACTTCTTGCTAAGAGACGTGCAGAAGAGGCTAGAGTTAAGAAGATTAAAGAACAGGTAGGTTTAAGCAGTAACCTTGGAAATTAAATTATTCATAGTTGCGTTGAATTTAAAACTCTCGTATATATTTACTATACAGTAAACCCTCGATAAATCAGCACATCTGGGCTCTGGCCTTGCTGAGGTATACCAGATTCTGACTTATCGAGGCCTTTCCCCCTTCATACAAAAATCATCGACCCATATGTGTGTGTGTACAGGTAATTACTAAATATACAAAAAGTAACACTTACCAGCACTGCAGGCGAAGAATGGAGCATCATTGTAGGTGACACAGAGGTATGGTAGGTGACACAGAGGTATGGTAGGTGACACAGGCATGGTAGGTGACACAGGCATGGTAGGTGACAGGCATGGTAGGTGACACAGGCATGGTAGGTGACACAGGCATGGTAGGTGACACAGGCATGGTAGGTGACACAGGTGTGGTAGGTAACACAGATTCATGGTAGGTGACACAGAGGTATGGTAGGTGACACACAGGCATGGTAGGTGACACACAGGCATGGTAGGTGACACACAGGCATGGTAGGTGACACACAGGCATGGTAGGTGACACACAGGCATGGTAGGTGACACAGAGGTATGGTAGGTGACACACAGGCATGGTAGGTGACACACAGGCATGGTAGGTGACACAGAGGTATGGTAGGTGACACACAGGCATGGTAGGTGACACAGAGGTATGGTAGGTGACACACAGGCATGGTAGGTGAGACACAGGCATGGTAGGTGACACAGAGGTATGGTAGGTGACACAGGCTACCAGATATGCCGAGATTTTTGCTGTTGACAACACAATATACATAATGTATGTCGTTTCTCACTCTTGATTTTTTTTTTTTTACTATTTACGGTTATTTATTATTATTACTGTTATTTTGTTTATTAAAATTTTTATTAATTTTAATTAATTAATTATTATTATTACCCCCTGTATTATTATTATTATTATTATTATTATTATTATTATTATTATTATCATTATTATTATTATTATTATTATTATTATTATTATTATTATTATTATTATTATTATTATTATTATATCTTCGCCCCCCCCAGGCCCTGATGTGGGTCAAGTGACCTGTGCCCGGGTGGGCTAATCCCCGTAAAAAAAAAGAAACCATTCCGAGAACATATCCATGCCGAGTTGTATAAAATTCCGAGTTATCGAGGGTTTACAGTATATTAAAAGTCAGGTTACATACACTTCATCTTTCTGTGTATTTTTTCTTTAAAATGATTGTGACTCCATTTCTAATTTATGAAACCAGGAAGAAGAACGAAGGAAACAGGAAGAGGAGTCAAGGAAATTAAAGGAAGAAGAAAAGCAAAATGAGGAGGAAAAACTATTATATCTGGCAGAGCAACGCCGTCGTCAAGAGGAAGAAAGGAAACGGTAAGTGTATTAAATAAAATTACAGTAAACCCTGCCAATACTGTACCAAACTAATCCATACAAGCTCTGTCCATTATTGGGAGAATTTTCATTTTCCCCCATTCCCCACCACATGATTTATGGCTATAACAGGCTCTGTTGCAATGAAGACTGTCTATCAAATGAGAGCCCTGCTATGTTAGACAGCTACTTCTACAGTGGCACCTTTTAATTGATGGATCTCCACAGGTACTCTGTGTGGGAAAATTTCTGAATACCAAGTTATTTCTGGGGAATATCACCTTATTTAATACCATTGTAGTGCAATAACCCTATCTGGTGTCAAGCAAGTGTGTTTTCAATTACAGTTTTTGTGCTTATCTTGTAAGCACTTTCTTCCATAGGAAACACAACTGGTAAGGTACCATTTTGGTGGTTTCATGGTACCGTACATTTTATTCATTGCCCACTGCACAAACTGGAGACCATAACTCCACTGGTTGCTTTTATTAATGCACATCCAAGTACCTCAGTTTTGCTCGCCTGGTGCACCTCTCACTTCACTGAGGATTGCTCATTTTGGAACAAGCTGTGTACAGCCATCTCTCAATTTATATGGTAGTTACGTTCTTGAGAATGACCGTGTAAATCAAACCTAATTATCCCATAAATAAAGGAAATGGCGGGGGTTAGGGGAAGCGCTCCCTAAAAACTTTAATTTGTGGATCTATTTCCTTCAGTATGTTTTTTTTACAAAAATATATTAACAATAATAATACAATAATAGAAGCAAATCTAATAATACAGTAGTAAGAAAATAGATTTTAAATGAAAATTTGTGCGAACGTAAACATTGAATGATGGCTGAGATGGCATGCAGGAACTAGTGGTGGAGGAGAGGTGGGGGTTACTGGGGGAGTTAGTCATTTGAATCAGATGACAGAGCAGGTGAATGGGGAGAAGTGGGAGCTTTCGAGTTACCATATGTTGATGGCTGAGGTTAAGGTGATTGTTACTCTTTCCTTTTTTGTAAAGTAGGAAAGCAATGAGATGTAGAACTATGCTGCCTGGCGCAATGGGACTCTTTTGAAAACTGTGTTATTTAAAAATAGGTGTTAACTTAATGCTAGTGTTATTTTAAGAACATGCTAATTAAATCCGTGTAAAGTGAGAGGTGACTATACTGCTCCGAGCCCTCATGTCTGTGACTCATCTGTGAGGGTGTGTAAATTCATAAAATTAGAGAGATAATTCAAATTTTAAGTAAAAACAGGGAGTGAAGCTGTTCCATACATTCCCCGCTGCTGGGCGAAGTTTTGCTGGTGGTGGACAATAAGATATCATTTGGGTCGTATGTGCTTTATAATATTTGTATGTCTTATCTCAAGCATAATGGCTTTTATTGCACTTTTCAATTGAAACGTTAATCATGACCCCACTTATTCGCAATTTATATTTTAACAGGCATATTCTATACTTAGTTCAGTATCTGTATTCGCTTATCCGCAAAGCGAATTAGAAAATTGAAAGAAATAATTTCAATATGCTACAGTAAATTTGTTTCAAACTGCACAAGCTAACTAGCTGCTGCACTCGTACTGTATTCCTCTGTCAGAAGTAGTGCTTGGCAGAGATGCCAGGTACGATGCTGTTACCAGCTATGGACTTCTGACCCCAAGACTCGGCTGATTATGCTGTAAATTTTGTTCCTCTTTAATGGTCGTTAATTATGCCTGCATCTCTCTTCATTTCCAATTTAATGGAATATTTCTGCTGGTTACTGTCATTTAATTTGGTTTATTTTAGGCATGATAAAGGATTAATGTGTGGCTGTGCATTATTGCATATATAATGTGCTTGGTGGGATTTTTTGGGTGGAGGCCATATGTGTTTTCATAATGGAGTTTTGTTTTCTATGTATGATGATATTTAACTTTTCAGGAGCAAAATAAGGAACATGCTGGAGGTGTGTGTCATCTCTGGTGCTTGGTGGCTCAAGCTATGTGAGCAGGCTGCATAGTTAATTGTTTTTGCTGTGTATTCATACACCAGGCCATGCGAAAGAGTTCTCTCTGTCTGCTTTGATCTGTTGCGTTGTGTGGTAGTGTCGATACTGTGTCAAAATTTTTTTCGTATTGCCTCCTACTCATTCACACATTTTATACACACAATCACAAAGTTTAGTAATTATTAACAACATTTGTGTCGGTGTGTCTTTACAGTAAGTGAATTTTTTACACCCATGGTGAATCAATATTCTATGCTTATTTTAACCCATAACTGGTCATTAACGTTCAATTACGTGATCACCGATATTATTATCTCTGGTCAGTCACGTATTAGAACGTTTTCCAAATCTGCTTTTCCCGCACCTTTGAAATTGAGTCTAGCTACCATAATCTGTTTGTGTAAATGTTCCCCCCCCCTCCCATCTCTCCCCAGGGGGCCCCACCCTCCCATCTCTCCTCACAGTCAAGGCCCTGGGACTACACAGTAGTCTCTCGATAGCCATGGCATGTGAACGTAACCGGTCACTCAATCAGGTTGAGACATACTCTAAATTATTTGGTAGGGGTGAAGATGAGTATAGATTGACAGAGGCATGCATTGATAGGGATATTGAACGTGATGATAATGATAGTGACTAAGACTATGTGTTTGAACAAGAGGAAAACAACACTGATAAACAGCAAGTAGAGGAGAGAGGGTTGGTGTCCTCTTCATCTCCAGGAACGTCCAGTACTCCCTCCATTTCACCTACCCCTACCAGTCCGTCCCACTGTATAGTTACATCCACCCACACCCCTTCCTCCCTCCTACACTAGCTCCCTCCCTCCCTCCCATACTGCTACCTCCATCCCACCCTGTTCCCTCTCTCACATGCCTTCCACCTACATTGCTCCCTCCCTCCCTACCTCCCTCCCTCCCTACCTACCTACCTCCCTCCCTCCCTCCTACAGTGTGTGTGTGTGTGATCATTATGTATATATGTGGCTGCAAGACAAACCAGTAGTACTGTGACAGCACTGGAAGCGAGTAGAGGTTTGGGAATACTACACCAGCCCTGGATTTAAATGTCTCGCAGCACCTTTAAACGAGGCAGATTTTCAAGTGTCATTTTGGGGTGTTTGGGCCATAAAAGAAAAATATGATTATCCCCGACCAGGGGGTTGGGAGGGATACCATGGATGTATAATAATGTGACCTTTTTGCAGGCTAAAGATGCTTGGCTAATAAAATGTGTTTCTGCAGTGTTGTTTTGTATTGTATTATGGTATTATACTTATTTTAATACATTACACCTCCACCAATTATATAATTATATTAATTCTTATGGGAGAAATTATCCTGATATTCGCAAAGAATTTTAGGGACACATCATTTGCAATGACCGGGGTATTAACATATTATTGATGCCTATGTAAAATATGTTGAAATTTCTGTGTCATAATGATCAAGGGAATAATTTTAATTATGCCCTTTGTCCTTGAAAACGTCAATAACATGCCATCTTTGCCTGGA